CTCCCACTCCTCCTCCCCAATAGGAACCCCCACTACGGTGAGCCCCGTCCATGTTTGCTGCATGCCGGGCGGGACGGTCTCGTTCCTCTCCTCTCCCTCCTGGTCCACCCCTCGCTCCCAAAGCTTGCACTTATGCGGCTGCACCTCCAGACCAAGCCCGCCCAGTCGTTCCCGCAAGACCTCATAAGCTGCTAGCACCCGCTCCCTAGGCCCCAAGATGTACGTATCATCGGCGTAGCTGAGAAAGAGTAGGTCGGCGAATTCTTGTTTGGTGGGCTCCATAACCAGCTGCTGTGTGAACGCGAACAGAAACGGCCCCAATGGGTCCCCTTGCCTCGATCCTCGCTCTGAAGCCAAAGCTTCGACGAAGGGGCCCGCACGGAGGTAGAGGTCGCTAGGAGTGCCGTAGAAGACACGCAGGAATGGGATCAAACCCGCAAAAGGCGACTGTCGAAGTCCTTCAAACATTTCCCGCCGATGGAAGGAGTTGAAAGCATTCGCCACATCAATTTGAAGCGCGCACCATGACGGGTGAGTAGAGATGGCAGAACGAAAGGCATGTGCGAGGACTTCCACTCCCGACCTGGATCCGACTCCTAGCTGGTTACACGGCGCAAAGTGCGACAATCATCTTCGGCCGAAGCACGATGCATAGGGCCCGAGATAGTATGCGGGGGAGCACCTCGCCTATAGCCACCGGGCGAACGTCACCATTCGGCTTCGACAGGCCCACAAGGTTGGACGCAGTGACCCAGGGTCGCACGCGCTCCGCTACCTCTCCCTTGGTCCACTGGGTGAAGACTCCTAGCAGGTGAGGCAGGTATGCGGGCTCAGAGAGAAAAGTGTCGCGCAGGTGCTCCGTCACCCACCCCGACGGTCCTGGTGCCGACGCCCTAGCCGCAGAGTGGATCGCCTGACCAAGTACCTCCACTGAGAGCTGCGGGATAAGGGAAGGCTCAACTATCTCCTCCTGCAACCACTCCGGAATGGCGGTCTCGCTCGATGGGTGTTTCGCTCGCAGCGCGTCCACCATGTGCTGAGAGGGCTGAGCGATGCTACCGGCAGTAAGACACGCCAAACCCCGACTCCATTCTCCCACTTTGCACCTTGTGCGGCAGCGAGCCAGGCGCACCGCATCAGGATCATGCTCGGGGGGGGTGAAGGACAAAGGACGCGCCGCAGGTTGCATTACCGCCACCGCCAACTCAAACAGCTCCCGCCACTCCCCGACCCAAAACTTCTCCAACCGCTCCCTGATTGCCGCCCTATGCCCCTGGCCTTGCCCAGTTGGCATCCCCAAGATAAGACGAGGGAAGGCCAAAAAGACCAAGGACGCCGCCTCGTCTGCTGCCTTTAACTGTAGCCGCTTCAGGACACAAGACAGTGCATCAAGCACCCCCAATCTAGCGCGCTGTGGGATACGACGCATGATTCTCCCTGGCACCAATTCGATCCCAAAAAACGACTCCCAGTCCCATGTAGGAACTGCGGCCCATACCTCTTCACTGATATCACGTGGTGGCGGGGGTTCGCCGTCCGAGTCATCTGTGACGTCGCGGGTCAACCCAAGCGCCTGAGCACGACGCTGGGCGTCCGCTGCCCTGCAGGCCGACATATGGCGTGTGGCCTTTCCTCTCTCCGTGAACGTGTGATAACAGGTTTCGCACGGAATGCGGGGCGGGGGTGTCAATGTAGGGTCTGGGTGCTCCTCTCCACTCGAACACGCCGGCAAGACCCTCCTGCTAGACTCCGTCTCCATGCCCCCCTCTAACGGCCTTGCAAGCTCCATCCCTCCGCACTGCAACTGCTGCTGCCCTTCGCTCTGCAATTGCCGTTGCCCTCCGCTCTGCAGCTCCTGCTGCCCTCCGCTCTGCAGCTGCTGCTGCCCTCCGCTCTGCAGCTGCTGCTGCCCTCCGCTCTGCAGCTGCTGCTGCCCTCCGCTCTGCAGCTGCTGCTGCCCTCCGCTCTGCAGCTGCTGCTGCCCTCCGCTCTGCAGCTCCCGCTGCCCTCCGCTCGGCAGCTGCTGCTGCCCTCCGCTCTGCAGCTGCTGCTGCCCTCCGCTCTGCAGCTGCTGCTGCCCTCCGCTCTGCAGCTCCTGCTGCCCTCCGGTCTGCAGCTGCTGCTGCCCTCCGCTCTGCAGCTGCTGCTGCCCTCCGCTCGGCAGCTGGTGCCCTCCGCTCTGCAGCTGCTGCTGCCCTCCGCTCGGCAGCTGCTGCTGCCCTCCGCTCTGCAGCTGCAGCTGCCCTCCGCTCGGCAACTGCTGTTGCCCTCCGCTCTGCAGCTGCTGCTGCTCTCCGCTCGGCAGCTGCTGCTGCCCTCCGCTCTGCAGCTGCTGCAGTTTGGTTGCCCGTCGCCTCCGACCCCGGCCCTGCGCTCGGGGCCTTTCCGCTTGGTCCGGGGAATCAGGGTTGGCATTCTCCCCCTCCATGGGGCTTGATTCCAGCTCATCGGTGCAAGCCTCGTCCGCCATCTCCACATCCAACACCCAAACCGGCTCTTGCTGCCCTCCGCTCTGCAGCTGCTGCTGCCCTCCGCTCTGCAGCTCCCGCTGCCCTCCGCTCGGCAGCTGCTGCTGCCCTCCGCTCTGCAGCTGCTGCTGCCCTCCGCTCTGCAGCTGCTGCTGCCCTCCGCTCTGCAGCTCCTGCTGCCCTTCGCTCTGCAGCTCCTGCTGCCCTCCGCTCTGCAGCTGCCGCTGCCCTCCACTCGGCAGCTGCCGCTGCCCTCCGCTCGGCAGCTCCTGCTGCCCTCCGCTCTGCAGCTGCTGCTGCCCTCCGCTCGGCAGCTGCTGTTGCCCTCCGCTCTACAGCTCCTGCTGCCCTCCGCTCTGCAGCTCCTGCTGCCCTCCGCTCTGCAGCTCCTGCTGCCCTCCGCTCTGCAGCTCCTGCTGCCCTCCGCTCTGCAGCTCCTGCTGCCCTCCGCTCTGCAGCTCCTGCTGCCCTCCGCTCTGCAGCTGCTGCTGCCCTCCGCTCGGCAGCTGCTGCTGCCCTCCGCTCGGCAGCTGCTGCTGCCCTCCGCTCTGCAGCTGCTGCTGCCCTCCGCTCGGCAGCTGCTGCTGCCCTCCGCTCTGCAGCTGCTGCTGCCCTCCGCTCGGCAGCTGCTGCTGCCCTCCGCTCTGCAGCTGCTGCTGCCCTCCGCTCGGCAGCTGCTGCTGCCCTCCGCTCTGCAGCTGCTGCTGCCCTCCGCTCGGCAGCTGCTGCTGCCCTCCGCTCTGCAGCTGCTGCAGTTTGGTTGCCCGTCGCCTCCGGCCCCGGCCCCGCGCTCGGGGCCTTTCCGCTTGGCATCCTCCCCCTCCATTGGGCTTGATTCCAGCTCATCGGTGCAAGCCTCGTCCGCCATCTCCACATCCAACACCCAAACCGGCTCTTGCTGCCCTCCGCTCCGCAGCTGCTGCTGCCCTCCGCTCTGCAATGCAGAGAAAATGACAAAATATGCATTGTTCATTTGAGCTCCCCGAACTGTTCACAACCAATTGTTAAGGGTTGCTACGCAACCCAAAAAAAAAGGAGGTGCCAAGCCCGAGCCGCGATGCCATCCCCTTCCCACGAAAAGCCGTCGGAGTCGCGTCCTTATCAGGAATGTAGAGAACCAGGCACGAAGGTTGAATGTGCGAATTTCAGCGCAGCAATCACAAGGATCATGGGCTCGAGTAGGCTGTCGAAGGTTTGAGTTGCATGAATTTGTCGCCTATGTCGGACAACTGTTATTCACGCAGGGCACCACTATGGGATAATGTCGGAGATTTGAGGCGTGTGATGGATTTGGACGTTTTTGTCGGAACCGCGTCGCGTTTTGCAGGTGCCAGGCTTCTTGATACATCTCTCAGATCGGCCAGTCTTCACGATCCTTGTATATAAATTCGCGCAGCCCAGATTGTTTAAAGCATCTAACACTGATCCCGTCACCGATCGTTGTTAGCTTGCATCCTCACTGCCTGCACCCAGCCATGGCTCGCCACGCAATTGGCGTCTTACCTCTTCTTCTATTGGCTTCCACGCTACTCTCCGCGGCGCACGCTGCGGAAATGAAATCTCGCGGCGACCTCGCCGGTTCCGGAGGATCCAACAACCAGTTCATTTACAATCACGACACCGTCACTCCCGCCGCTGTCATCACCCCCCGCCCCAACGACCCCGCGCCTGCTACCCAGCCTCCCGAGCCTGTTACAGCGGCGAGCGACCCCGTCACCACTCCAAACCCCGCGTCGGCCCCTCAAGACGTCTTCACTGATGATCCTTTCGGAACCTCTGGCCCGTCGAACGCAAACCCGGGCCCGGCGTTCGACCCCAACGACCCTCTGGGCGGCAAGAACCCTCTCGCGGGTGACGACTCCAAGACCGGCGTTCAGACAAGCGGGGCCGACTCTAGCGCGTATGCCGGCACTGTGCAACCCAACCAGGTCAACCAGGGAATCCCGATTACTCCGAATACTCCAAACAACGACACGACCCCGAATTTTCCCGATACTCCCGACAACGTCACTGACACTGTCGTCGCGCAGAATTCCACCTGCGACAAGTCCGACTTGGATGGTTACACGTCGTCGTATCAGATCACCAAGCACGGCCACGTGCTGCACTGGGCCGTCGTCTCTTCAACGGTCGTCAAGATTGCGTTCGAGGCGAAGCACAGAAGCGGTGCGGCGCGGGGATGGGTCTCGGTGGGGTTCTCCAAGGACGGAAAGATGTCGCCGGCTGACGCCATCATCGGTAACCTGCCGGACTCGCCCATCGCAGCTTACTCGGTCACGGGCTACGACGCGGGGTCCATCACGGTGAATAAGGACCTTTGGATCGGCGACGACGCGAGCCTTCTTATCAAGACCAACGGCAGCCTCATTGTGAAGTAAGCTATTTCCCTTCCCTACTACTATCTCCCGTTACATTTTCCGTTCCCAAGCTGCTGCCAGAAACGTCTACACGTGAATGTATCAGATAGCAGCACGGATCCACTTTGGCTAACTTCCCGCTCATTGACGCTTTTCGTCTGGTTGACGCTTTCAGGTTTCAGAGGAACACCACGGACGGCGTTGCGCCCATCTCCATGACCGCGCCCGTCACCGTCATCTGGGCCTTCTCCGCCGACAACACCCAGCCTCTCGCCTTCCACGGCGACAAGAGACGGTACGTGCGCAGTCCCTTCTCCAAATCTACATTTATCGTACTCCTTCCCCGTTCCCTTCCGGCTCATCTCGCCTTCCACGGAGACAAGAGATGGTACGTGCGTAGTCCCTTCTCCAGATTTACCCTTTATCTCGCTCTTTCCAGCCGCTGCAGCTTTTAGCCATCCTACTCGCACTCCTTCCCTTTTCTCTATCGCTCATCTCGAGTTTCTGCTTGTGTTTTCGTTCACGCAGTGGCTCTTTCCAGGTTAACTTTTCGTGCAATGGCGCTGGCGACGTGGCGGCGCAACAGACGATGCCGTCGCCAGTGCCGGTTCCAGCTGACGGCGCGAACGTGACGGAGGGGTCGTCATGCACCCAGTCGACGCTCAGCGAGTTCGACCACCAAGCAGATCTCTACAACGGAAAGTACGCGACTTTATCCCGACCTGCCATGCTATTCATCCTGTACCATCACTATCAGTACTGTCATGACCATGATACCCCGAATTTGAACACTTCGTGTCGTTTTGATGCTCGTTTTGCATGCTCCCTGCTCGCTCACTTCTGTCCGTGTTCCCTTCTGCTGTGATTTCTCTCGCCACCGACAGGATTCTGCTGCACTGGAAGGTTCTGAGCGGCCCCGTGTTCCAGATGGCTTTCGAGGCGAAGCACCTAAGCGGCGCGGAGAACAGCTGGATCTCGGTTGGCTGGTCGAACAACGGGGCCATGGCGCCTGCCGACGCCGTTGTTGGTAACATGCCCGGGATCAAGGCGTACCGACTTGACGGTTACAAGATCGCGGAGCTCGTCAACGACACGTTTTCGCTCGGGCCGAACCCGTCGGTCACCACCTCGGCTACTGGATCCACAGTTGTGAAGTGAGTGATTACACCAAATTCCTGTTGCACTCGATATTGTGCGGAGTCTTCGTTGCAGTGAAGGTCCTACCTGCGCATATCTGAGCTCATATGTCAATATACCTCTCGTTTCCACAGGTTCTCCCGCAGCAACGGGGATGGCGGCACGGTTCCGATCAACCTGAGCGGCGAGACGTACGTCATCTGGGCCTTCTCCCGCGGCATGCTCGATGCGTTCGGCTACCACGAGTACAACAGGTGCGCTCTCATGGTTGTCAATAATAAACTCCAAATTGGTTATGCACGCCAATGTGTCTCCCACCCTTCTGCCTTTGAGCGACTGTTCTGTGGTTACACTGACTGTGCTGGTAAATCGTCTTTTTTCTCGCAGGGGTCTCGCCACAGTTGATTTCCTCTGCAACAAAGCCCCAACGACCCTGATGGGACCTGGCGACAATGTGGCGACCATCCCGGGTGCTAACGTGGACAAAGATCCTTACGCGGGCCTGACCCCTGCTGAGCGGGAGGCCAAGGAGGCCCGCAGGGAGCGCCGCACAGCGCGCCGAGCCAATCGCGGGGCGATTTTCCGTTCATGGGCTAATGCTGCGTTTGGCCTCCCCAGCCCTGTCCCATCGTACAACCCATCATCGCCGTTACCCTAAATACCCTTAGCAGATTTCTTCCGACGCCAAGTTTCTAGCTTAGTTTTCTAGCGAAATATTGATTGCTGTTTAAAAGATGATGTGTTCTCAACTACCGGTAGATCTGCTATGAGGGTTCACCCATCTTTTTGTGGATGTCTTTAGCACAGCCATTCTGCAAACATAGCCGTTATTTTTTGCAAGCTACTCCCATTCTACTCTTTTTGTCAGCTGAAGGTGTTTCCTTCCATGACACATAAGTTGGATGTGCTCTAGTTCTAGGAGTAGGTAAGGGATATGGATACATCCAAAACAACCCATGGCAAGAAGCAGGGCATGGACTCACAACCATTTTTTGCACTGTTTGACCTCCCTTTTCCCTACCACCATCTCCTCTACGATAATCAAGTCACCACATTGATGCACTGACCAGTGTACATGCTTGGAAGGGAAATGGTGACATTATGGTATGACTAAAACACAAGGACATACATAGCAAGACATCACAAACAGCAGGGCATGGCATCACAACCATCTTTTGCACTGTGTGACTGTGCCTGATGCGAGCACACAACTGCAAAAGATGCCTGTGGTCCGGCCGAGCGGGCGAGCACTATCCCATCCATATCCACCACATTTTCTACTCTAATCAGCTCATCACGGATTCTCTTCCCACGCAGCAAGCTTGGTGCACTGATCAGCTCACATGCTCCATTGTACAGTGTACAATGTACAGTGTACACCAACTACTTGCGGAAGCCGAAGAGCGAGCCGAGCCAAGCGATGAGCTGTGAGAGAAGCGCGCTTCCTCCACCGGAACTACCCCCGCCGAAGCCACCGTCACCATCACCATCGCCACCCCCCTCGTGGTCACCATCGCCATCACTATCACCATCGCCCCCACCGCCGCCGCCAGAGGATGGGGCAGTGGCACAGGAAAAGTCCACGGACATGTACCCACTGTGATGAAGGGAGTGATAGGGAGAGGGAGAGGAAGAGAGGGTGGTGAGATGAAGGAGAGCACACAAGTGGAGTTTTGCAGAAGGCCCAAGTCGACCGCGAGAGGTGCCGAGCGGAAGAGGGATGAGCATAGAGTGGAAAACAGAGATGAAAGTAGAGAGAGGTAAAGAGACAAAAGGGAGGCAGAGGGGAACTCACTCGGCGCCTCCGTGGAAGGCAAGGGACTTGGAGTTGGAGTTGGAGTGCGCCCAGATGAGCCTCTTAAATGCGAACATATTGAACAAAAGGTACTCAAGGAGGGATAGGAAGACTCACTCAGCGCCGCCGTGGAAGGCAAGGGACTTGGAGTTGGAGTTGGAGTGCGCCCAGATGAGCCTCTTAAATGCGAACATATTGAACAAAAGGTACTCAAGGAGGGATAGGAAGACTCACTCAGCGCCGCCGTGGAAGGCAAGGGACTTGGAGTTGGAGTTGGAGTGCGCCCAGATGAGCCGACTGACGCCGCTCATCTTCATGCCCTGAGAACCGGTGTTGGCCGTGCGCGAGAACCTGATTGGTCCACAGGGGGGAAAAGAGAGAAGGGAGAACGGGAGAACAGCAGGTGGGGTAGGGGGTCAGTGTAAGCCGACAGAATAATGGAATGAATAATGGAATGGCGACTGCGCAGACAAAAAACACAGTAGCTGATGTCAAGACCGAGAACCAATCGCCCCACTCACTGGATCACTGTGGAGCCCGTAGCAGACTTCACGGTCCCGGCACCGCTGCCAATGCTAAACGAGCCGCCTTGTAACGAGGACATGCTGTAGCCAGTGATGTGGTATGCGCTGGTGATTCCCCCGGCCCTGTTGCCAATGACAGCATCGGAAGGAGCCATGCGTCCTCCCCAGCCGAGGGCGAACCAGCCGTTGCTGGCGCCGCTGCTGCTCTTGAGCTCCACGGCCATGTCCAGCTGCGTGGCGGACGCACGCTTCCAGTGCAGCAGCACTCTGCGGAAGGGGGAGAAGCAGGGGAGAGCGGGAGAGGGGGGAGGAAGAGGGGGAATGAGTCGTTTGTTTTGAGCTCCACGGCCATGTCCAGCTGCGTGGCGGACGCGCGCTTCCAGTGCAGCAGCACCCTGAGAATGGAAGGGAGGAGCGGAGGGGAGGAACGAGGGGGGGGGGGGATGAGAACAAGGTGCAGGAGAGGCGACGCATGTAGCAGCAGTAGCAGTAGGAAGCCGGAATTGATCGCCTCTGCACGTGCATACCCGGATTTGATCTGCGCCTGGTAGGAGTAGCCGCAGAGGGTGGACGCAGGGCATGCTGTGCCGCTCACGCCCGTGTTGCCCGTGCACGTGCCTGCTCCGGTGCCCGAGCCTGATCCCGAGCCTGATCCCGAGCCCGACCCCGCAGTCGCTGTGCCGTCGCAAGAGAAATCAACAGACTTGGCTCCTCTGGAGGTTGGGAAAGAGGTCGGGGGACGAGGGGAAGGAAAAGGAGAGAGATACAAACTGAGAATGACGAAAACGCTGGAGTGGATTGTAGTAACGATAACGCGATGAAATCGAAAAGGGAGGTCGGTGCGAATGAATGAAGCGACGGGGGGGGGGAATGCCCATGATCGTTCCAGAATGCCACGACTTGTTTAGATTTTGATAGACGAAGAGAGGGGATAGCGCGCGATGCGGCACCTGTGCGAGCCGCCATGGTTGGCAACAGTCTTCGAGCCGCCAGACGAGTAAGCCCACACGAGGTTGTTGCTCCCCGCCACGTTCACTTTCACGAGCCCGTCTCCCGTGGTGCGAGTGAACTTCGCGATCGTGCTTCCGCCCGACGCGGTGACGCTCGTGCCGGTGATGGCGAACCGTGTCGTGGTAGCCACACTCGAGTAGCTCGATATCGCGTACGTGCCCACGCCGCTGGCCGTCGCGAGGTTCCCGATGACGGCGTCGGAGTTGAACATGCCGCCGTTGCTCCACGCCACCGCAATCCACCCGCCCGCGGCACCGCTCGTTGACTTGGCCTCGAGCGCGAGGTCGATCGTTGACCCCGTTGACGTCTTCCAGTGGAGGATGAGCCTGGGGGGAAATGAAAACGCGTCCCGGAAATAGATAAGGACTTGAGGCTCGGACTCGGAAGGTCGGAATTTTCGGAAATACGAAAACGTGAAATGCAGGGCATGGGAAGCACTCAGAGACACCAATGCACGGCTAAAATCGGGGATTGTGTCTCATGACTCGATATAAGACTCACCCGTTGCCCGAAAGGTCCACGGAGCTCGTGTAGCCTGCGAGAGTCGACGCCTGGCACGTGCCGGTGGCAGCCGGCGTCACCAATGTCTTCGCCGCCGCTACAGCTGCCCCGCCGACGGCTCCGCCTGTAGCAGCAGCAGCGCCAGTGGGTGTCGGGGGCTTGAGCGAGAATTTCTTGCGCCACAGGTTGAATCGGTTGAGGAGGCCTTGGGATTTTCGGGGGGACGGCGATGGTGCGGAGCTCGCAGCGGCCGGCGCTGCGGTGGCGCTTCCTACGAGTACCGCGGCGACGAGGAGGAACGTGACGCAGACGCGCATGAGGATGGCTCGCGGTTCGTGTTCTCTGGTGGCAGCCATGGCTCGGAACGATGGGAAGTTAGCTAGCGCAGATAAGTGAGTGAGTGAGTTGGGGTGAAGTGGAGTGGATTAGCGTATGCTGAGCGGACGACACGTGGAAATACGGATGGTGGAGTGAGGGATGGTGGTGGGTGAGGGCGAGTCTACTGTGAGTATGAGATTCTTGAGGCTGGTTTGCTTTATAGGAGGGAGATACATATGTGAGGGGAAAGTGGCAGTAGCTGGGGAGGGGAGGGGGGTGAAGCAGGTGAGTGCGTCTTGGTTTAGATACGGGGGGAAAAGAGGACTCCTAGACCAGTAGGGATTTGCGGGACTAAGAGGGGAGTGAAAGGGAGTTGACAGGTCTGGAGTAGAGTTCGGTGGGATGAAGCGGAGCGGAGTAACGGAATTGCAATACCGACAAGAATCCAATCCGTGCCCCCGTTGTGGCGCAACGCAACAGCGCACCGAGATGACTGGCTGGAGGCATGTGATGCTCCGCCGCCACAAATCGCTTGCGCGTCGCGGAGACACGTGTTTTTCGTGCTCTTGGTGTGTGCACCTTCGTGTGGAAAGCAGCTGGGTTCAAAGGCCGAGCTTCAGCGTAACTGTGTGCTGTCATGTGGTCATCGTTAGTGTGCAGCGAAGCCGTAAGAAAGGTTCGGTAGTTTCTTATTGGCCAACACTCTGCCCTTGATCACCACCGACCAGCACTACACAACTGTTGTTGTCGTGAAGGAAGGCCTACGACAATGGTAACTCCTCCTTGTGGGTTCGTCGTCAAATCAAGGCCGCTAAGCGAGCTGGTCGGTGTGTTTCCTAGCGATGAACAAGTGAACGACGAGCGAGTGCGACACCGGAATATTCACGCCTCTCGAATGCTGCGCTGGCATTCTAGTTTGTCCGTACATGCAGTATCAATGTGGGTCAACGAAACTCATGGAAAGTATGCCAAACGAGCTTGTGCGGGAAGTTTGAGAAGGATCCCCTGTACAAGCATCCCCCTATCCCATTGCACTAGTGCTGGATTTACATGGTGACAATATAAAACATGACCCCGATTCTCTCCATGACTTGGATAAGGATGATACATTGGAGAACCACAGGGATCAATCCCGAATCGAGCCTCGTTTTCACGTCATAGAACGAACACATCGATTACTGATACAACTGTTAGAAGGGCCAGAACAATGTTCCAACGAAGCCCTTGCAGAATAAGGCATAGACAAATCCCTTGTTTCCCTGGCTGTGTGACCATTTTCCCAGCATCCCACCCTCAATTGTTTTACATATGTTATAAATGATTGGTCTATTCATTGGTTCATGGAGTCATGCGCTAGTTTTTCAGTTTGGACAGAGTGCACTGATGCTCAAACTCAACCATACAAGACTGCTCCACAACAAATCCAGCATGGAGGAAATATGGCAGGAAACCATTTTTGGAGCTTGGATTACAAAAAGAAGCAACATGGCGCCACAATCTTACATGCACAGAGCCATCCATCCATCCTAATTAGCATAGCACAACTACAGAAGAACCATAATTTTCACAAGGATCCAAATTTTACTGAAGCCTAAAGTGGAGAAAGCTAGTGACCATCAAGTAGCTTCCAACGCGGGTTTACGGGTAGGGCGATGGGGTGGAGGATGGCACAGGTTCGGGGAGGCCGAGCGCAGCATTAGCCCACGAACGGAAAATCGCTCCGCGCTGAGCTCGGCGCGCTGTGCGGCGCTCCCTGCGGGCCTCCTTGGCCTCTCGCTCGGCAGGGGTCAGGCCCGCGTAAGGATCTTTGTCCACGTTAGCACCCGGGATGGTCGCCACATTTTCGCCAGGATTCATCAGGATTGTGGAGTCCTTGTTGCAGAGGAAATCAACCGTGGTGAGACCCCTGCGAGAAAAAAGACAGATCAATTGCTCAAACACATTCGCGTGCATAACCAATTTGGAGTGTAATTATTGATCAACCATGGTCGTAACGCACCTGTTGAAGTCGTGGTAGCCGAACGCATCGAGCATGCCACGAGAGAAGGCCCAGATGACGTACGTCTCGCCGCTCAGGTTGATGGGAACCGTGCCGCCATCCCCGTTGGTACGGGTGAACCTGTGGAAACGAGAAGCAAGTTGACATATGAATTCAGATGCGCAGATTGTGGAAACTGCAAGGAAGACCGCATAATATCGGGTATAACAGGACTTTGGTGAAATCACTCACTTCACAATCGTGGATCCAGTAGCCGAGGTGGTGACGGACGGGTTCGGCCCGAGCGAAAAGGTGTCGTTGACGAGCTCTGCCATCTTGTAACCATCAAGTCGGTACGCCTTGATCCCGGGCATGTTACCAACAACGGCGTCGGCAGGCGCCATGGCCCCGTTGTTGGACCAGCCAACCGAAATCCAGCTGTTCTCCGCGCCGCTGAGACGCTTCGCCTCCAAAGCCATCTGGAAGACGGGACCGGGCAGAACCTTCCAGTGCAGCAGGATCCTGCGAATGGCGCGTGAAAACACAGAGAAGCGAGCAAGCAGCATTAGACAGGATCAAGACACACTTGAACGAGACATGAATGGTCATGTTCGTGATGACAGTACCACGGCATGATGGTTACGGGAAGGGGAAGAAACGAGTCTTTCCGTCGTAGAGAACAGCTTTATTGGTGTTACTTTTGAGAATTCTCAAACGTTACGGGAAGGGGAAGAAACGCGTACTTTCCGTCATAGAGAACAGCTTGGTGGTCGTACTGGCCGAGCGTCGACACCGGGCACGCCGACCCCACCGTCACCTGCGTGCCCTGGACCGGCACCGGCACTGGCGCCGTCGGCTGCGTTGCCACGCCGCCGCTGCCGCCATTGCACGAGAAGTCAACCTGGAAAGAGCCACTGCGTAGAGGTAAACGCAAACAGAAACTCGAGATGAGCCGCAAGGTTAAGGGGAAGAACTGCGAATCGGTTGCCGCAATCGCAAAAACTGGTGCGCAATCGCAAAAAAAGGAGTAGGATGACTAATTGGGCTCAGAGGAAGGGACGGTGCGCGTACCATCTCTTGTCGCCGTGGAAGGCGAGCGGCTTGGTGTTGTCGGCGGAGAAGGCCCAGATGACGGTGACGGGCGCGGTCGTGGAGATGGGCGCGACGCCGTCCGTGATGGTCCTCTGAAACCTGAAAGTGTCGACCAGAAAAAGACGTCAATGAGCGTATGTTTTTTTTAAGTTACGAGAAAGGGGTTCAGTGGTGGATTTACTACTCTGGGAGGCGGGGTGTGAAAAGGGCTCACTTCATAATGAGGCTGCCGTTGGTCTTGGTCACGAGGCTCGCGTCGTCGCCGATCCACAGGTTCTTGTTGACCGTGATGGACCCCGCGTCGTAGGCCGTCATCGAGTAGGCTGCGATGGGCGTGTCCGGCTGGTTCCCGATGATGGCGTCAGCCGGCGACATCTTGCCGTCCTTGGAGAACCCCACGGACACCCATCCCAACGCCGCGCCGCTGCCGCGCTTCGCCTCGAACGCAATCTTGACGACCGTTGGGGAGACGACGGCCCAGTGCAGCACGTGGCCGTACTTGGTGATTTGATACGACGACGTGTAACCATCCAAGTCGGACGGATCGCAGGTGGCCGGTGCCGCGACGCCAGTGTCGTTGGCGGGAGTATCGGGGTAAGTCGGGGGCACCTGGTTGACCTGGTTGGGCTGCGCAGTGCCGTCATACGCGCTAGAGTCGGTCGCGCTCGTCTGCTGCATACCGGTCTTGGAGTCATCGCCCGCAAGGGGGTCCCTGCCGCCCAGAGGATCGTTGGGATCGAACGACGGACCCGCATTTGCGGGCGACGGTTTCGAGCTGCCGAAAGGATCGTCAGTAAAGACGCCCTGAGAGGCTGACACGGGGTTCGGGGTGGTGACGGGGTCGATGGGAGTAGCAGGCTCGGGAGTCGCAGGCTCGGGAGTCACAGGCTCGGGAACAGGCTCGGCAACAGGCGTGGGGTCCCTGGGGCGGGGCGTGATGACAGCGGTGGGGGTGACTGTGTCGTAGTTGTTGATGAAATCTTTGTTGGACTCTCCAGAACCGGCGAGGTCGTCGCGGGCTTTCATTGACGCGGCGTGCGCGGATAGGAGGGTGGATGCCAGAAGGAGAAGAGTTAGGACGCCCAATGTGTGGCCCGGGGGAGCCATGGCTCCGAGCTACCAGTGTCGAGGCAAAACGTAAACTTGCTGAGATGGTAGAAGATCGCTGTGTACGGTGCGAATGACGACTGTCGATTGCTAGTGAATGTATTGCTGGTTTCAGATGTGATGGACAAGTTAATCTGGGCCTATTTGAACTTGGGTCTCGTGAAGTTGTTGGGCCATCTGAGACCTAGTCTGGCAGGCACATGCAAGTCGCGACGCGTGACCGACAAAAAACGTGTCCAAGTTCATTACACATCACATTAATCAGTCAGTAGCGGGTGCCTACCTGGACTAAGGATGTTGTCTGTTACTCCCTGACGGCGTGATTGACCCCATGTCCCTTGAGACACGAGCGTAGAAAACTGCGCAGTCGAGCTTCGTGCCTGGGACTCTACATTCTGGAGAAGCTTGAGATTCTGGACGGACAGCTTTTCGTGCCAGGGGAGGGGATTGGGGGCAATGTGGCATCGCGGCTCGAACTTGGCATCACCGACAGTGTAATTTCATCGCATTTCGAGACTCACGTAGCTCGCCAAGCCTGAACTCAATGTCGCGGCTCGTACTACCTGGCCAATCAGCGCTAAGGCCGAGCCAGGAGGCGCAAGACCCATCACTCACACGTCGACATACACAGCAGATCTTGCGGTAACTGGGCGCTACACCAAGAATGCGCTAAAAATGTTTCAGAGCACTAAGGTTTTTCTCCCATTCCATGTAATCCACCTAATGCAAAGAGTCACAAAACATACGACGTATGTACGATAGATTCAGCTTCCTAGTGAATCCTCATTTGATGAATACTGTTACGAATGCAATTGAGTGAGCGAGCGAGAATTGCACTATCGAAGCAAACAATACAGTTGAGCGAAAAGCATGGGCGAAGTTATATAGCGAAGCTACCGTGGTAACTGTAATGCGGGAAATTGGGGGTGCGCTACGAGCCTAGCGCCGAGGTTTGGGAATTGTCGAGGCGGAGGTCCGGAGCGCGGGTTACCAACCGAACCGTTAGGTTGGGTCGCATCGCGAACAGTGGTGGGAGTCGTGGCCGAGGCGAGTGCTGTGAGCGGGTAACGTTTCAATGTGGGTGCCGATGGCGGGAGTGGTCATGTACGCGGTAAGCAGGGGCGCCAAGTAAGGAAAAGGAATTTTCCTTACACCACCCCCCTCCCCAAGGAGGCCCTCCGTACGAGAGTGCGTGTACATCTCGAAAGTTTCGGCTGCGCAGATACTCGGTGAGGACAGGATACCCAGGCTATCCAGGGGGACCCAGTTGTCTTCGGTAGGCGTGCAGTCTTTCCAGCGGATCAGGAATTCGATTCTGCGGGCTTCCCGTGGGTCACATACTTGGTGGCTCAGTATTTTTTCGGGCGTGATGATTGGTTCTGTTGGCGGTCGTGTCATGCTGGCGGGGCGGTTGCGAGGCAGTTGGTGGATGGGATATATGGGCGAAGCTGGCTGACGTGGAATGATGGGCTGACGTACCAATCAGCAGGGAGGAGGAGGTGGGCGGTGACGGGTTTGATCATGTGGCTGATGCGAAATGGCCTGCAATATCGGGGGCGGAGTTTTGGAGTGATGGGCAGGCGGAGGTTTTGGGTGTCGAGCAGCACGACGTCGTCGGGCTGGTAAGTGACGGGTCGGCGGTGGCGGTCGGCGTTACGCTTAGCGATGATGTTCGATTTTTTTATTGCGTCTGCTGCTCGGGTCCGTGCTGCTTGTAAAATTTCTGCGAATTGTTGTGCGCGTGGCACCGGGTTGTCGGGATTCGGGGTCATGGGTAATGTGGGGTCTTGTCCGTAGTTCAGGGAAAATGGTGACTGTTGGGTCGTGGCGGATGGCGAGTTATTGTACGCGAACTCGATGAGTGGCAGTTGCTGTTCCCAGGTGGTCGGATGAGTTGCTCCATGGTCTGGTTTGTCCGTTCTGTCTGTCCGTCGGTCTCGGGGTGGTACGAAGAACTGAACTGTAGTCGTGTGCCGAACTGCTGCCACAGGTTCCGCCAGAAGTTGCTGGTGAACTTCGTGTCGCGGTCGCTGATAATTGATGCTGGTATCCCGTGCAGTCGAACGACGGTGGAGATGAAGAGGCGGGCTGTTTCTTCGGCTGTGATTGATTTTTTGCAGGCTGCGAAATGTGCCATTTTCGTCAGCCGATCGATGACGACCAGGATCGCGTCGTTCCCACTTGCTACAGCCGGTAACACCGTGACGAAGTCCATCGTCACCTGCTGCCAAGCACGCTCTGGGGGTGGTATCGGTTGCAACTGCCCTGCCGGCCGTTGCCGTGATGACTTCATGATTTGGCAGGTGGGACACGATGCCACGTGTCGTTGCACGTCGGTCAGCATTTCGGGCCAGTAGTAATACCGCTGCAGCTGCTGCCGTGTTTTCTCTACTCCGAAATGTCCTGAGGTAACCCCGTCGTGTGCCTCCTGTAGTAACAACTCCCTTAGTAAAGTGTAGCCCGGTACCCAGATGCGGTCGGTGCCGGCTTTTACGTAATAAACCCCCTTTGCTGCTGCGAACTGCTGCGAATTTCCACCTGTGAAGAACGGGTCGGTTTGATAACCGTGGGTAAATAGTCCTGTTAGTAGTGGGCTGGTCTGGGTGAGTAGTATGGCGTGGATTTGGGCAGTGGGGCGGGTCAGTGCATTGGCGATGTTCGATGCCCCTTTTTTGTAGGTGACCGTGTAGTGGAAGTTTGACTCGAGAATATCGAGCCAGCGGATCTGTCGTGGGTTGAGGTGGGGCTGTGCGCGTAGGTACTGTAGTGATTTGTGGTCTGTCCGTACTGTCACGTCTCCGCCGGTCAAGTAACAGCGCCACACTTTGAACGCATGCACGATCGCGAGCATTTCGCGGTCGTGTATCGGGTAATTATTCTCGGGCGGATGCAGTTTTCGTGACTCGTATGCGATGGGCTGTAAACCGTTGCCGATATCCTGTAGCAGTACGGCTCCAATGGCGATGTCGCTTGCGTCTGTAACCACTTCGAATGGGCGGTGTGGGTCGGCGATGCGCAGTACGGGCGGTGAACAGAGAACATTTTTCAGGGCAGAGAAGGCAGCATGCTCTTTCTCCCCCCACGTAAAAGTGACCCCCTTCCGCAGCAGATCCGTCAGTGGGGCTGTTAACCTCGCCATGTCGGGGACGAACCGACGCACGTAATTAACGAACCCTAAAAAACTCTGCAGCTCCGTGATATTTGTCGGGGGTGCGGAGAATAGGCGATTGTGGGAGAGCCTAGGCGCAGAGTTGCAAAGCGGATGCTTGTAAACCGAATACGGACTTGTTGGAAACCGAATACTGATGCCAAGGCTGGTATGCAGTAACTGAAGGAACGAAATTGATTAATTGATAGATTACAAGGGAAACAACATAAACCTTATAGAGAGCATAGTGACGTGTGCAAGAACGTTCTACGAGAACGTTGTTAATGAAGAACGTTGTTCAAGGAGAACGTGCAAGCACCTACTCTAGTATGTGGTTCCAGGCTAGCACCGCCAGGTGAAAATACCATCAGGTGAAAATACCATCAGATGTATTTTCCACCTGCCCAGGAGTAGTTGCGTAGGTTCTTGCAACACTGACAGTTGCACATACTCGTTTGTGCAATGTCGACACTTCCCTCCAATCTGATCCAATGTCGAATTGTGCTTACTGAGATGCACAAATTGGAGTGTACCGAAACTTCGGTATGCGGTATGCGAAGTCTCGCTACTTTGCATAGAGCTGCTACACGCGAAACCAGGCGCGTGCAGGGCTTAGCCTCAACACTCCCCTGCCCTGCTCGTGCCTGGGCATCTGAGGGGTTAGCACACCACACAAAGCGAAAGGAAATAATAGAGTACAACAGGGTGACGATCCTGATACTCGTCTGCGTGTTTTCCGCACACGCATACTCACCGCACCAGCCATGTTGAAGGACATGGCACCTATTCCTGCAAGTTGTCACGCTCGTCGTCAGCAAGATCAACTTGCCCAACGGCGACTGAGCAGCGCTTGAATGCTGGGGAATGCAGCGCCTTCGTGAGATAGTCCGCATGTTGCTCGCTAGTAGGGATGTACGTAAGCGCGATTTTCATGCGCTTCACCATCTGCTGCAGCCAGATGTACCGCCTCTCCATATGTTTGAGACTCCCCTTCAGCCCCAACCCCTCCGCAACCGCAATCGCATATGAGTTGTCCACGTGGATGACGGTCGGCACCCCAGCATCGAGAAGTTGAAATTCAGCAAGAAGAAAGCGTAAACGGCGCGCCTCCTTTCCGGCCTCCGTTGTAGCAATGTACTCGGATTCCGTTGAGGATAACGTCATGCACTTAATCCTTTAGCTTGCCCACGAAACTGCAGCTCCGCCAAGCACGAAAACGTATCCGCTGGTACTGCTCCGCGTATGTCGGTCACCCGCGTCATCGGAATCCGCATACCCCACCAGGCGCAGAATCTCCGGTCCACCACCGAACTCGAGGGCGAAATCGCGGGTGTTCACCACGTAGTCAATGCAGCAATCCAGCTCCCTCCGGTGCTGGTCACTGCGAATCGTCAACCCAGAGCCCAACTTGCTGCATGCGTATGCAATATCGGGACGGGTTGTGGTTGCGGCAAACTGGAGCGAACCCATTTTCTGGCGATACTCTTCCTCTTCACGAGCTTGAAATTCATCGTCATCGAATGTCAGCTCTGTGTACGCATCGACCGAGACGGGCGTTTTCGGGCGGCGACCTATCTGCTCTTCATGCACAAAACGGCGACGCAGTTTGTCCACGTATGCACTTTGGTGCAGCCACAGCTTTCGCGCAGACCTGTCGCGCACAATCTCCAGCCCCAAATACTTCTGCACGGGAGTGATTTCCCGCAGCTCGAATGCGTTTTGCAGAAGCTCACGGAGGTCCTTCAGCATTTCGAGACTGCTACTCGCGGCGAGCAAGTCGTCGACGTAGACGAGCAGCCAGCAACCGACTCCATCAGCACTGAACTTGAAGTAGAGCGCTTCGTCCACCTGA